AAAAAATACGGTAGCACCTTCCGAAACGATACGGTAGCACTGTTAACAAACCTAAAAATTTTACCCTTCGGAGACGAAATAATACGGTGGCACGTGCCACCCATAGCGACACACTAGGTCCGCCCATGGGAGCGAGTAAAAGTGCGAGGGTACCGAAAAGATACAGTATTTTGACCCAATACGAAGGTTGATGTCCAGCGACCAGTGAAGGTGACAGGATGGAGAGAAATTTACTAAACTACAAAAATGGTCCCTGAATTATGCTCAAATATGCAATTTTGTATACCTTTGTAGAATACTTGAACTTTTAGTCTTTGATAATAATTCTGTCCTATTCAATTGCTTCTGTTTGTCACCTATTTGGGTATGTCATATATATATATATATATATATATATATATATATGTACCAATCGAATTGGTTGAGTTATGTGAAAACACAATAAAAGACGATACTCTTAGCATGATTAATACGTCGTATTTGAATTGGTTCAACTTCCGTTGAATTTCATTGTAGTTTGGGTGATATAGCTTGATGGTTTCGTTATTGACTATAATTTTAGTCTTAATGTGTATATGAATTGTCGATACATCGTCTTGATTAGCTATTGTTTAGATGACAGGTTGATGTTTATTCAACATCTATCATCAATATATGATCTGTAGTTATTCTCAAACCTATTTACAGTTGATTATGTGTTATGATCCATTAAACTCTATCCCTTTTCAAGAATCAAGACATGCAAAATTAGGATGAAATACGGAAAAGAATTGTTGTAATGAAATAAGGTTAAATGAAACTGTACTTACAAGCTATATGCTTATGGAAAAAAAGTTGTTAGGACAAAGTTGAGTAACTTAAGTAAGGGGCCGTTTACAAGACGCTTACTTGGGTAAACGCTTACCAAGTCATATTACCTCATCGGATGAATATGGTAAGGACCAATAATCTTACCCGGTAAGAGCGAGACAATGACCAATAGTCTTACCCAATAAGTGAGGGCGGCGACTCTTACCATGGTAAACGCTTACTGGATAAATTGTTGCATACGATACTTGTTTTGGTGGACTAAAATATTACCCGGTAAGTAAATAATAGTGTTAAATTTTACCGATAAGCGCTTATCGGGTAAGTGTTTGGTAAACAGCCCCTAAAACATTTTATTGGGTTTTTTACAAAAAAAAAATTCTTAAATAAGGTTTTTATGATGCTTTTATTAAACATTTTTCAAGTGATCCACTTAAATAAAAAGTTCGGGGCCGTTTACCAAACGTTTACTCGGGTAAGTGAACACCAAGTCATTTTACCTTACCGGATGAATATGGTAAGGATCAAGAATCTTACCCGGTAAGAGCGAGACAAGAACCAAGAGTCTTACACGGTAAGTGAAGATGACGACTCTTACCACGGTAAGCGCTTACCGGGTAAATTGTTGCATATGATACCGTTTTGGTGGACTAAAATCTTATCCGATAAGTAAATGTTAATGTTAAATTTACTGGTAAACACTTACCGGGTAAGTGTTTGGTTTTAGGTTGTCCATCTTTTTTGAATAAGACACATGGTCTTTGTTATATTATAAACATTAAAATCTCTAGATACTTTATCAAAACGATGGAACGCCTTAATATACCTATTTTGTTGTAATGCCGATAAACAAAGACCATTTTTTTGTCCCACCTAATATGGTTCCTCAAATATTTTAAAGAATTTGTCTTTTAAACACTATGCTTCAAACAAATTATTCTACAAAGGGTAAGAAAGAGAAATAAAATGCGTAAGGATTGGGTTCAGTTAAGATCATTTTTTAAGACTCGATAAGACCACATCATAGCCATCGGATCTATCGAAGCTTCTTGGTTTTTTCCCTGAATCTTCATATTTTTTCACAGAAAAAAATGTGAAGGTTCGGATAAAAATATGAAGGTTCACGAGGCCAAAGAGATCGAACAATATTAGGAAGTGGTACGAGAGTCGCATGAAAAAAGGGTGGTACAACATAATCCTAAGTGAAATGCTATGATTGCATATATGTTCAAAACAAGCTCCAATTGTGATTTTTCATTTTGTTTATATCACAAATCAAATGGGAAAATGGCAAGCATATTATGATTATAAACTAACTGTTTGTCCAAACAAAAAGGGGGAAGCTCGTTCATGATTCTCCTGTAGCTGGATCCTCCGGAACCACAAGAATCCTTAGTTAGAATTAGAATGGGGTTCCAACTCAGCACCTTTTGAGTGAGATTTTGAGAAGAGTTGCTCTTTGGAGAGCACAATACGATGAAAGCTGTAAGTTGTGTTCGGGGGGGAGTTATTGTCTATCGTTGGCCTCTATGGTAGAATCAATCGGAGGACCTGAGAGGTGGTGGTTTACCCTGCGGCGGATGTYAGCGGTTCGAGTCCGCTTTTCCACAAGATGGTGGTTTCAACAATCATAGAAGTAACTACACAGGATCCATATTCGACCCGAGCCTTCGATCCTCAAAATATCCTTTCCCATCTTTTGCAGTGTCTCACCCCACTCGAATTGACACAGTGCACTTTGCAACTCCCTATCAAGCACATAAATCTCAATTAATACCATTTGTATGCACATATCGTTATTTTTTGTAATGAAATTGGTTGTGACCGGTCCCTTAAGTTGATCCTACCCATCTAAAAATTTGACACGAAAACTGATCGATCTAGCCATGAGCAGATTGAAGAGAGCTCTAACAAGCCTTGGAGAACCAAACCCACGTATGTGGCAAAATACGGGGATGACTTGTGGCTATAACTTGAGATAGGCAATCAATGGCAATAAAAGAAGACATGTTAGATGCATAATTGTCGATGCATTATTCATGTAATATTGATAATTATGTATCGTACTAAAAGGTTTATCGTATTATTACATCCCTTTTATATATGGATCATCTTAAAACTCCTCTTAACTTTTTTAAATATAATTATATCAGATGTAACTTTTTATCAAACATCTTTTAAAATAGTTGTAAAAGTAAAATAAGAAAACGTGTAACATTTTGTATGATTTGCAAGATTGTTTTTGGATTTTATAAAAGGATTTAGATTGGAATGAATTTGAAATCATTGGTGTATTTGGTTTGTAGGATTTGGAATAAAATTGGATTTTATTATTTATAAATAATTTATAAAAATGTGGCATTCCATGCCTATATGTACACTTTATAATCCCGTAAGTTTTAATAATAACAAACATAACCCGTCATATCTTGTAGACTAATATAAAAGATGATTCTGATTCTGTTAATATCTTGAGTATATTAAAAGGCGAACCTAAAAATTGATCGAAATCAAGAATCAAAGTTATCTCCGATCCACATAAATCCCTTCATAAAGAGTATTCTAGGAAACATGACATGATTTTAAGTGAAGATAAAAATCCGAAAGAAATTCTCTATCGAGAACTTAATGTGGCCAATGTTTTAGAAAGTCAAACGCTTTAGCAAATGAACCGACAATATACAAATGATAAGGCATATAATAAAAATACAAAATACAATAATATAACCTAGTTTATTTTTCTCGGTTTTTATTCTTCTTATTAGACGTCAAGACCACAACTTCCATCCTAAATTTAATCTACACTCCCTCGTTGCTGAATCATTGGATTATTTCAAGAAATGGTCTCGACAACATTTCACCTCGAACTACGTTAGACCCATCTTTAGTTCTTCCACGACCACCGTTTATGGATCCTCTCATCAATCACACCTTCTCCTTACAAAATCCAATTCACCATTCATTTGGACGTTTTCGTTACTCGATTTTTTTACTTCAGACATCAGAATTAAAAAAAACAAGTTCACTGACAACAGTTGCAATTTTTGACAAAAATTGAGCAAGTCAATGGATAATTGAGATTTTTGATTTTTAATGGAATTTCGTCGATTTAGGAAAAACATACAATTGAGAAATAAAAACTAAAACTCAATATCTTCGACGATTTTTTTAATTACACTATAAAAGTTGATCTTGCAAAATGAACACTAAATATAACTAATACATACATACATACATACATACATACATACATACACACTTGAGATCATGTGAGACCAATGGTTTTTCGTGAGACCCGTAAGACCAATTATCAACCATTGGATTAGATCTACAATATGAATATTCATAAACGCCACGAGACTTCTCAATAATCACAAAATTGTCACCGTGCAACTTTA